CGGTCACTTGTACTGTGTTTTTGAGTATGTAGCAATTCCTCATACTGAGCATGAGTGCAGTGGCTGTTGAAAAGAAAACTCCCCTTTTACAGGGATAATAAGTCAACAGCCTTTAAAGCATTTGGTTACATTTCTGAAGCCACACTGTGAGTGCAATCTGCTTTGACCTTTTTATATAAATGACAGGGAGGTTCATACTGGTTAAATGGTGGGGGGCCTTTACAGTAAGTAGCAGATCACATACTGCTGGTGGGACTGTGGGATAGAGGTTACTCTAAAGAGACACCTGAAGCTCCAGCAGAGCAAAACACTCATTATTTGAAATTTAGTTAAAAGGATAAGAAAGCTGGAAATGAAATAAAAGGTGTGTTTTTGTTTCCTTAACTAATAGATAACATAAACAGTTAGGTTGATGATGGTTTTAAGGTTGAGGTACTTTACTGTTGAAGTATGGAGCACAACACAGGTTAAGCCACAAATAGTGCAAAGTTGGAGCTTTTTGTAGATATTGATGTTTTTCATTGCAGTTCAATGGATGTTGCTTACTTCTTATTTTCTCAGGAAAAAAAAACACTACCTTTATATTTATTTTTGATTTAATTATAAAAACTCATTTTCATTCATAAAATAAAAAAAAAAAAAGTTGAAAAAGCAGTGTATTAAAGTAAGGTAACAGAGCATTTGTTATTAATGAACAATTATAACAAATTCCAAGGTTTCACCAAATCAGTAAACACTACCACAAAAAAAAAGAGTTTAATCCTATCTTGTGAAACTATTAACTTTTAATCCAACATATATATTGAATTTAAGTTTGCCAAACCCACTCAGCAAGCAGTGAGCCTGTAAAAACCACAGTGTCTTTCTTTTGTAGAGAAATAAGTAACACACAGAAAGTTAGATCCAACATCTAGAGGAGGACATTTCTAAATAAATAGCATATCTACTAGCAAATACCTCAACAAAGTATTAATGAAAAAAATTTATTTTATCCACAAAGCAGCTAAATGGGGAATTAGTGAGGTGAAGTAAAGAAAAAGCAGTTGATCGTCTTCAAAGCTCTAAGCACCCAATATAATGGTTAGTCGGTCAGGGAAAAAGATAAGGTTTAAACATAGAATAGAATAAGATAGAATAGATCCGTATATGTGGATATAAAAACACATGATTAGAATAAGAGAATGAACAGTGAGGCTACATTTACAAAACAAGAAAAACAGGATTACAGGTTATTAAGATTAACAATAACAACAGAAACAAAATAAACTGCAAAAAAAAAAGTGAGGAAGTACAAAATTATTATAATGTTGAGAGCAGTAATAATTAGGTCCAATCTCTGTGTTGGAGGAAAGACTTGTAATAATGCACATTCATGTAATTTCCGACTTTACAACAGCTTTAGA